AATACAACCAAGCAAAACATTCAACAACAAATAAACAATCCAAACTTAACACAATAATGGGAGTAACTACTAAAATAAATTAGCCATCCATGGGGGTTCACAATCACAATCCAAACTATAAATTAAAATTAACTAAAAAGATGTAAAGAAGTAAACCCTAAACTATGAAATGAAGAAGAAAGCTAATTAAACTTAAATTAGAAGTGCTGAAAAATGAGAGTCCTCAAATTTGTGTACAAAGTGGTATTTATAGGGGATGGATACGGCGGGTCTAAATGTATATGCAACAAAATATACGAAACACTTGGTCGTCCTCGAAAGTGAAGAATTGATAAACGTTTTGGCTTGTTTCAAAACATCTGAAATATTTGGGGCTGAAATGAAAGGCGGAAGTCTTTAATTGCAATGGCTTGTGGATGCGGGGGCTTCATGTTGCTGCTGCCTCGTTCGTCGTCAAGGATGCTTGAAAAGATTAAGGATTTGACGCCGAAATGATCCTCATGCTTGAATTAACAAACCCCCTTCATTGTTTTGCTCATTTGATGCTGGAATTGGGGCAAGAAATTCGTGGCCGTGAGAAAGTTCTTCGCTGGATTCTGGGACAAAAATCGTCAAGCTTAGTGTCAGGAAAGCTGGAGTCGACAATCAGATCGACGACATTCAGTTGACTATTCTGTTTGTATGCGTCGACTTTGGTGTTGGGTGTGTTAAAGCTGACAATCAGGTCGACGTATACAGACTGGCGACCAGCAGATTTCATCTTGATTTTGAACCCTTTCTTCCAAGAATTAGATTTGGACTTGTGAAGCAAAACTGTGGCTCTGTCTTTCAGCCAATCCGAGCTACGACCACGAAGTTACGGCCTCTGAAAGTGGGCTGCTTCTTGCTAAAGTTTCTGTAAATTTTTGTACAGTTCTGATGAATGAACTTCAACTGCATTTTTGGTCTCCTTGTCTTCTGAATTTGGAGAAATATTGTTCATGAAAGTCGTAGCTTTCTGTTTGGGCTTCGCATGCATGTATTGATCATTCTGAACAGAGACTCCTACCTCAAGTTACGAGTCTTCGAATCAGGCTTGCTCAACTAGACAAACACTTGTTGACATTTTTGTTGTCTTTTGATCAATTTCCAATTCTTTTATGCCATTTACTCAACCTACATTAATCAAATGCTAAATATGAGAAATGTGCACTTTTAACACAAGTAAACCACAAGAAATGAGTTCATATATGTAAAACCATCGTGAAATCATATGAGATAGCGAGTATATTCGCTTTTTCATCAAAAGCCAATGAGCAGTTTTTAAGGCAGAAAGCGAAAGATGATTAGATTAAGGATGGGGACTCTAATACAGCCTTCTTCCATGCGAAAATAAAACAGAAGATCATGAAAAATCACATTTGGAGTTTTACCAATGATGAAGGGGAAGTCATTCGGGATTGGGACATCATTGAGGACCACTTCATGCAATTCTACAAATCCTTGCTAGGGAAAGTAATAGAAAAAGTCCCAACTGATAACTCAGTCTTTGAACAGGGTAGCCAGCTGACCACACAAGATCAACTGAGAATTATCAGGCCTGTGACTAGATAAGAGATTAAAAAAGCGCTTTGGGGAATTCATTCCAACAAAAGTCCTGGCTCTGATGGATTCGGAAGTGATTTTTTCAAAGCTACGTGGAACACCACTGGGATGAACTTCACCGATGTTATCATGGAATTCTTCGAAAAAGGTCAGCTCCTAAAACATTTGAATACTATGTTAATTGCTTTGATTCCCAAAGTAGATAATCCTTCAAATGCTAGCCAGTATAGGTCCATTTCCTGCTGTAATGTGGCAAATAAGTGTATTACTAAGGTTCTTAGTGATAGACTTAGTGAAATGGAGCCGAAAATTGTTGCTGAAAACTAGGGTGCTTTGATAAAGGATTGAATCATATTGCATAATATCTTGATAACTCAAGAGTTAATTAGGATGTATGGTAGGAAAAATGTAAGTGGAAGGTACATCATGAAAATCGACCTACAAAAGGCCTATGATTCTGTTGAATGGGCTTTTGTGGAGGAATGTTTACATGGTACGATTTCCTGTAACTTTTGTCAGATGGGTAATGACTTGTATTAGTTCCCCGTCCTTTTCTTTATGTATGAATGGTAGTACAGTTGGGTTCTTTCAAGGCAAAAGGAGTTTAAGGCAGGGAGATCCTATGTCTCCGCTGTTATTTGTAATAGTTATGGAGTATTTTACGGGACAGCTAAAGGATGCAGTTAATCATCCGAAATTTAGATTCCTAAATGTGCAGCCCTGAAGATGACCAACATCTGTTTCACTGACGACTTGCTAGTATTTTGCAAGCCTGATGAGTTTACTATAAAGGCGATAATGAGAGCTTCAAGGCTTTTTTGACAACCTCAGGCTTAAATGCTAATGTAGGGAATCATCTGTTTACTTTGGTGGTGTACCTGAGGCAGTGAAGTTGAGAATTGTTGACGAAATTGGTTTTAGTGAAGGTGTATTTCCCACGAAATACCTTGGGTTGCCCCTATTACCCAGAAAATGGAACCAACAGGATTGTCAATGCCACAGAATTAAGAAATGGTGAGCAGGATGAAATTTTGGAGTACAAGAAATTTGTCTTACAACTCATTAATTTTGTACTGCTTCACATGCATGTTTATTGGGCATCGGTGTTTATTTTACGTAAGAGTATTACTGAAATGGTATGGTAAATAGACACTGCTAAGAATTCTTGTGGGAGGTGAAGGATTCAGGGACATATGTGGCCTTGGTTGGTTGGACAAGGTGTGTATCATGAAATTAGAAGGAGATTTAAGTGTTAAAAACGGCAGGATTTGGAATGAAGCTGCAATGATTAAGCAACTGTGGTGGTTCGCAATGAAGAAAGACTGTTTATGGGTCAAATGGACTCATGAATTATACATCAAGCAGAAAAGCATCTGGACAGTCCAACCTCTGCAAGATAGTAGCTGGCATTGGAAACAGCTACTCAAAATACGAGACAGAATGCAAGATGATTTGATGGTGTGAAATGGAAGCACAATCAGACAGGTAGATATACTATTAGTGCTGGATAAAACAGGCTTATGGGTAGACAGGTGGCATGGTTAGAAGTAAAGTGGATCTAGTGTAAGGCAAATCTCTCAAAGCATTCGTTTATTGCCTGGCTTATTTGGAAGGAACGATTGTGGATCAAGGACAGACTCCAGCAGTGCAATGTTCATGTAGCTGATCTCAGTTGTAGCTTGTGTGGAAATGAGGGAGAAAGCCTTAATCACTTGTACTTTGAGTGTTGTTATTCTCATAATGTTCTCAGCAAAATCAAGCATTGGCTAGGAATAAGACAGTTGACATGGTCAAATGGAAAAAGGAAAAAGGAACTGGAAAATATTTGGAAAGCTGCTACACTGAAGAAGCAAGTCCTGGATGCTACTCTGATGGCAGCAGTATATTACATATGGGAAGAACGAAATTGGCGGATCTTCCAGCAAAAGAGCATAACAGAAGACCAGTTGCTGCAACAGCTTAAAGAGGAAGTGAAAATCAGGATCAGATCAAGGCAAAAGAAGCTCATACAAGCTAAACAAGGCATTCTAGATACATGGTTGTTATAGGAAGTGTTAGGAATCCTGTATTAAGGCTGTGATTGGTAATAGTGTTCATGTAGTAGAACAATGACAAGGAGTTTGTACAAAGCAGAAGTATTAAAGAGTTTGAATAAAATCAAGTATTAAAGAGTTTGAATAAAATCAGTTTACCTTTGACCAAAAAAAAAAAAAAGAGAATTTTTTAAAATAAGAGCTATGTATCAGTTCTGGAAAAATTATTAAAATAATATATATATATATATATATATTTATTAACTCAATTTTTTTTTTAATTTTTTAGAAATCGAGCGATGTGGTTTAATTGAAAAAGATTCAAGGAAATGTGTCACATTAATATGTACTAGTAAAAGAGGATTTACATAATATAATTTTGCAAATCTTTTAACTAAAATATAACTATAATTCCTAACTTTTCAAATTAAGAGTGGTTTCTCAATAATATCCAATCCTTTTATAGACAAAAAAAAAAATTTTAAATAACATAATCTTATCTTTTTAAGATCTTAACTACACAAACACACATACGAACACACACACAGATAGATAGATATATATATATATATATATATATATCATGCAATTAAATCATCACAAACAAAGAAACTAAAAATTTCTTTTTTTAAATTTTTTTTATTTTAATAGAGAATTTATTTTATTGAATATTTAATTTTACCACCGCTTTATACACACACAAATATATATATATATATATATATATATATATCTAGACACACACACGCGCATATGCATATATAAACATATGTTAATTTTATTTTTTACTACCCCGTCCAACAAAAATAGTCAACATTGAGTTTTCAAATTTATACTAAAAACAGTACAAAACTCAAAACTCAATTCAATTTGGATTATTTTTGTGGGACGGAGGGAGTACAATTTATAATACAACATGCATTACGCCCAGGATAAGTACTAGTGTGAGTATAAAGTGACATGGAATCTTTTGACTCAACTGTCTTATTTATTGAGATATTTACAATTGAATGAATTTATTAGCCACTGACACGATAGCGATACCCATACCGACACTGACGCCAGCACCGACAGTGTCTTATACACAAGAAAAAATGAAAATATAAACAATGTTTTATTATTATAATTTTTAAAAAAGTTGATTATAAATGAAAAAGGAAAAAACAAGATTTCTCGGATATAAAACGAGACTTGGACCTTCGGTAGTTCGGTTTTTAAAAAATAACATAATAGGAGTAATAAAAAAAGGCAAATACAGTAAAACAAATCTTATTCCTAGGTGGAGAAGTGATTCGGAATTACCCGTTCCTATAAATATTGAACCTCCTCCCTGCCTTCCAAGTTAAAAACCCCTGTATACTTTTAATTCTATGATTTAATCCTCCGAAAATCAAAACAACGTTAGACCTGAAATCGATCGAAACATTATGATGTCGGATGATGAAGATATGTCTTACGATGATGATGAATATCCCCCTTATGATGACGATGATGACCAAGGAGACTACGATCTAGAGGAGGCGGAAAGTTCCCGAGGTTGGGATGAAGACGGCGGCTCCGGCGAGCTTGTTGAATTCAGCCTCTTGAGCGGCCGAGATATTCGAGCCCGTGTTGATGCCGCAATCTCAGAGATTTCTAGCTTCCTTTCGGTTTCTAATGAAGCCGCGCTTGTGCTCTTGTGTAAACATGGCTGGAATGTTAGCCGGATTCACGAAGAGTGGTTTTCCGACGAGGCGAAAATTCGGAAATCTTCTGGGCTGACGGTGCCGGAGGATTCTTCCGGCGGTGCAGAAGTTAGAGGTAAAGGTACATTCTTTTGTGGGATTTGCTTGGAGAATTATGTCCATAATAATTCGATAAATTGTTCTGCTGTTACGGCCGCCTGTGGCCACGTCTATTGCGAGAATTGTTGGAGAACTTATGTCAACACGGCCATAATTGACGGCGCCGGTTCTCTGTTTCTGAGATGCCCTGAGCCTTCTTGCAGGGCTTCAGTTGCTGGCATGATCAATTCGTTAGCTTCCGATGAAAACAGAGGAAAATACGAGGATCATGTTCTGAGATCTTTTGTTGAAAGTAAGAAAACCATCAAGTACTGTCCTGCCCCGGGTTGCGAATTCGCTATCGAATGTTTAATTGGAGATGGAAGTAACTGTAAAGTCTGCGATTACGAGGTTACTTGCAATTGTTCGTATCGATTGTGTTGGAATTGTTCGGAAGAAGCTCACAGCCCGGTGGACTGCGAAACGGTGGCCAAGTGGATTTTGAAGAGGAACTCCGAAGCGGAAAACACAAATTGGATATTAGCTAACACAAAACCTTGTCCCAAGTGCAAAAAATGGATCCAGAAGAACCAAGGTTGTATGCACATGACTTGTCCGGCACCTTGCAAATTCGAGTTCTGTTGGTTGTGTACTGGTCCGTGGTCAGAACACGGCGAAAAAACTGGAGGATTCTATAGCTGCAATGTTTACCAGGAAGCGAAGAGGAACTGCGAGTACAATGAACAAGAAAGGATCAGAGAAATGGCAAAGAACTCACTGCAGAGATACACGCATTATTACGAGAGATGGAACAGTAACAGGCTCTCCAGGAAGAAGGTAATGGCGGATCTCGACGAATTGCCCGCCCGGATTCTTGATAAACTGAGCGATATTCACCGCTTGACGAAGTCAGAATTGCAGATTATCACTGATGCTTGGGTTCAGGTCGCGGAATGCAGGAGAGTTTTGATGTGGTCATATGCATATGGCTATTATCTGCCGGAGAATTATGACCAGGCTAAGAAGAAGTTCTTCGAGTATCTACAAGGGGAAGCAGAGTTTACCTTGGAGAAGCTCCATAGTTTGGTTGAGGAAGAGCTGTTAAAACACACCGAAGAAGGAGCTTCTTCCGGTGAATACCTTCGTCTCCAAAACAACGTCTTCTATCTAACTAGAAACACTAGGGATTACTTTCAGAACTTGGTTAGAGCATTGGCCAATGGCCTCCAGAGTTGAACGCTTGGGCCATTTCGAACTCAAAACACTAGTGTTATTGCAGTAAACAGGACGGATCCATTAGTTATGCAACACCTGGTGAACGTTCCTTTACTGTGGAAATACTCTGTATTGTAGAACCTAAGAATTAAGGTGAAGTGTTTTTCGCAACTAGACACTGTTTTACAGTTTGCTGTTATTTAGTCTTGAATTAGAATCTGGTTGATTTACTTAATGATTATTGTGTTGTGTCCATTGCCAATCAAATCATGATATCTATTTAATGGTATAATATTATTAGATCAAGGCTCAACCATAAACTTAATCCTTGTCATCGAGGTTTATTTGAGTTGGCCTTATTCCATAAACCTTGATGGTAATTTCAATGGCATTGGCATGTACGCAAAATATGAGTATCGGGAGAGGTGGGGACGATTCAGTGCTTGAAAGAATAGAAATAGTAACAAATCATAACCGAAACAAGGACTTGATATGTTAGGTTTGTCTGTTGAAAACAATGTGATAATAACGTCAATCCATTCTCAGATTTCCAGACGCACAGATTCGAGACATGGTTGATGCATACATCATCTAGGAGGCATCCAAGCAAGACAAGTAAAACCATTTTTGTTGGGATTTAAACCGCTCAGAGATGTCGGTGCACTTGTCCCATCAGTAAGTTCAGAGGTGTGGCCGCATGTGTGCACTTGTCCCATCAGTAAGTTCAGAGGTGTGGCCGCATGTAGCACTTAGCTTCTAGTACTAGGTCGGCTCTGATACCAATTGTAACGCGAGGTATGGCCGCATGTAGCACTTAACTTCTAGTACTAGGTCGGCTCTGATACCAATTGTAACGCCTCAACTGGATGGCATGTCCCAATAATTATTTGGGTAATCGTTCTCGCTAGACCCTAAATATTTAACCCAAGTTATTTAGTAATCCCTGCAGCTGGACTTATATATTGATCACTTTCCAAGCTCCCCTTCGATGTGGGACTCATTGTCAAGCTTGCTTGACATGGTTGCTTGAGTTCGAAGCTTCACAGCATAATTTAAATTTTTATTTTTAGTTTAAATTATATTAAAAGTGAAAATCTAAATTGGATAATAATTTAATAATTTTGGGACAAAGGAACTAATAATTGTTCAAATCTAGCAAACCCAATTTTGTCCTGAAAATTAGTGTCTATTTCATTTTTCCAAGTTCCAACATATGCATATTTGTGATAAGAAATTTGAGGAATTGTTTTATTCTTGATGCAATCAAGAAACAACATGGCTTTGATTGTGCTTTTGTGATCATTGTTTTTCAAACTCTGTGCTTGGGCAGTAATTTTACAAAAACAATACCCCATCTGCCCTAAAAGGTTAGCCTAATTTCGAAAAAATAATTTTTATTTTAATACAAATTGTACTAAAAATAAAAATCTAAAATGGACAATGATTTCGGAGTATTAATTCTAAAATAAATCTCAAACTATATGTGTACTAGTTTACAAGTATGTACAACATAAAGTGTTTTACGTCATCTTTTTGGGGAGAGGTTTTAATTAAACTCCAATTATGAGGGAATTTTTTTTTCTCTTTTCAATTAAGAAGCTAGCTAAAGGACCGAATTCGGCAAAGAATAAATGAACATCTCAGTATCTAGAGTGGGAAAAGAAATACTATTCCCTCTATCCCAAAATTATTCCCCAGTTCATATTTTTATTTTTAGTACAATTTAAACTAAAAATAAAAATCCAAACTAGACAATTATTTTGGGCGGAGGGAATACTACTTATTAAGGCGGTCATCTAGGCTATACCTACTTTGGCCATGTCTTGCTTCCTAATCGTTAATAATATTCTGAATGAGATTCCATTTTCGGTGGGGTGATACTGATGGAAAGAAGAGAATACACTGGGTTTTCGTGGAGTCGACTAACACCGGGTAAACAGCATGGAGGATTGGGATTCCGAGATTTTTATAGGCTTTTAACATGGCATTGTTAACAAAACAAGCTTGGAGATTTCTGACACACCCCACTCCATTGCTTGGACGAATTTATAAGGCCAAAGTACTTTCCTAATTCTGGTTGCAGATTGTTGGGAATTTATCCCGAGTAGAAAATCCGACATACAACCCAATAACTAAGATAAGACCCATCTGAACTCAAAAGTCTTGACATATAGGCCAATAAGTAAGATAAGACCCATCTGAACTCAAAAGTTCAACCTGATAGGTTCTAAGTCCACCTTACTTATTAAGTGATTCACATGTCCTCATGCCTCCGATGTGGATTCACAATCCTTGACACATAACTCTCAATATTCTCTCCTGTCATGAGCAATCTTCACATTGGGCTTCAAAATGATCTTGACAAGCCCAAATCTGTATTCCACCTGAGTAAAACTGGGCCGCCCATCCCTACGTTTCCGCTCATAGTAGACCTTTGACTGTTTGGGTTCAGTCAGATCAACCGAGATAATTTGGACTAAATTACCCACCCAACTGGCCTAACTTGGACTCTGATGCAACTTTTAGGGATCCTTCCTCCTAGCCCAACACTTTTCAAGCCCACTACATAAGGCCTATATGGGGTTCCACTCTACAACCAATTGGTAATAGAGAGAGTAACTCAATAGGCTTATATATTGAGTTTAGAGCTCTCCCACCACCAATGTGGGATTGGGTTTGCACCCAACACAGATGAACTTCGGGACAAGCCCTCATGAACCATGGAGAAGTATACTATCCAGCAAGAAAGTAATTGCGATGGGATGCAGAAAACTCAGTGCTTGTTTAGACAACGTTTTGTTGTAGTTTTTTATTTGGATTTGAGAGGAGATTTAAAAGGTAGTTTAGTTTTTTATTTAGAAAGTATTATAGTATAGTGACCATTTATGAAATTAAAATAGTTCAGCGATCAAAATGAAGACTTTACAATAGTATAACGACCAAACACAAGACTTTACAATAGTTCAGTGACCAAAACGAAAACTTTACAATAGTGTAATGACCAAACACAACATTTTAAAAGGTAAATTAAAAAGTTGTTTTGGATGATATTTTTTTTTTCATTGAGTTTTATGTTTAAAAGGTAAAATGAGTGAAAATGGAAAATGAGTTATTGGACAAACAAACACTCATTCGTTCGGGAGAATAAACCAAAATATAGGGTAACCCATGGATATATATCTGAGCCGCTGAGCCGCCTAATTTCCTAATTCGTTCAAACCCGGATACTCTATTATTGTCTGAATCTATGGTCTCCGAGCTCATTGACAGGAACGACTGGCTGCTGGAATTTGGAGTTAGTAAGAAATACGTATTTATTGAACGGAGATTGTACGTGATCCTCCCACATGTGTTTTTCGGATTAGGTGCACGGAGATCAACATAACTCATGAATTAGCGGCTGTTGCCAAATGATCAGTTTAACCAGAACTATTGTTATCAATCGCATCTCGATGCATACCAACAAACATAATAAAATCTCTCCTGTAACCTATAAAAAAAAAAGACAAAAAACAAAAGTTTCTCAAATCATGGCTTGAACATAGCTTAACAGGAGTTTCTTACACGATGTAATGTATATATTAATTTAATTTCTATCTAAGTTTCTTAGTATTTTTGAATTTGAATTTTTATTTTTAATACAAAATTAATTAAAAGTGAAAATACAAACTAGATAATAATTTTGGCACAGAGAAAGTATATTATATTAAAAATAACTCCGCAAAGTTAAAGCACAAAACATTAAAAAATAAATAAAATTACCTTACTCCAATTATCTTTTTCACTTCTAGTTTGCCGATCTTTTCCCGGGTATTTAGTTTACCAAAAGAAGAAAACCCGATTCCCTTTCGGGAAAGTAAAAGGAAAAGAAGATTACAAAGACGATATTTATATGGAAATCTTAAGGGAATTTTTTCCTTAAATATATGTAAAAAAAAAAAACCTAGACAAAAATAAAGCTTTTTAAAACCTTGTGGACAAATTTATATGCCCCGGATTTAGGAAATCCGAATGGGGGGAAAACTCGGATTTCGAAAATCCGACCCCAACTAAACTCGGATTATTAAAATCCGACTTTGTATTACGTAAATCTGAAATTAAGTTAATGACAAAAATTAGTGTAATTAATCTAAATCCGGATTTTATAAATCCGATTTTATGAATAAAATATTAATTTCCGGATACTATAAAAAAAATGTGTTGAAAAATTAAATTCGGGCAGAACTCGGATTACGAAATCCGAATCGCTCGTTTTTGAAAAATGGTGACTCCCGATTGGCCACGGACTCGGATTTCAAATCCGAATCCTTTAGAAAAGTCAGGTTCGGATTTCGCAAATCCGAGTCTTTGTCAGAACTGAAAAAATTGGACTGATTTTCACCAGTCCTAAACATGTTTACAGCACCAACAACAATGAAACATTGGAAAATAGGAATTTAATAACAACAAAACAATAAACGGCATTCGATTAACAACAAAATAAATCAAGTTTCATAAAAGTTCAATACAAAAACTACAATAAATGTCCAAAATAATGAAATGTCTCATTTTTTCCCTTTTCCTTTATTGTGCGCATCCGGAGTGTATTTGTTTGGGCCCTGTCGGATCCTGTCTCCCCTCTTAAGATATGTGAGTATTGAACTTTGGTGTGGTTGCGACTGTCCACCAAACTGAGCCTCGATTTGGGGTTGAGATTGGGACTCCCCCATGGTGATAAATTTGACTCCCGGTTGTGGTTGCGACTGTCCACCAAACTGAGTCTCAGGTCCACCAATGTCAAACTGAGTCTCGGGTCCACCAATGTCAAATTGAGTCTCGGGTCCACCAGCTTCTTCAAAATGAGTCTCGACCTGGATGCGCGAGCCTCGAGAGGAATGTGCTTGATCCTCATTTTGTTGACCCTCAGTTTGTTGTTGCGATGTCCGAGGAGGGATTGTGACCTTTCTCTTTCTTCCTCCTCCAATCTTATCTCTTGACCACGGTTTCGCTTTTTTACCCGGCGGAGGTTGTGAGGGAAAAAATGGATCTTCATCAACCAGGATTTGGGTATCATCCACCTCCATCTCATCATTTGCGCCCAAGGTTAAAGCAGCATGTGTTTGATTGATGATATCGTCCAAATGCTTGTCAAGTTCTTCGTCTAGGAGATTATCATCTTCTCGTTTTTCTCTAAACCTCTCGGTACTCACGCGAATGTTGTTCAATACTTCACCCTGAAAAGAAATTGGGACGTTAATTAAGAGAGTAAAGTTCTAAAAAAATGAAAAAAAAATGGAAACATAAGAAATAATAAAAGAAATCTACAATTAACTCACATATAATTTCACGCGGCTCGAAAAAGTCTCGTATCCTTGAGGTTCATAATTACCGGGATTGGATATCAATCTGACAGTGTTCACCATAAACCATTCATAGTACCCCTCATATACGGAACCAGGATCTCCTTCCTCCAAATCTCGTAGCACGAACTCTTCTCTCCTATTCCAATGACGGCGTACTGCGGAATGGTGATCCTCCCAATTATTGCTAGGATACCCAGACATACTGTGGGCGTGATCGAGAAGAAATGCTGCGTTATCTTTAATCATGGGGCGCTTGGGAACATCCTGTATGTATCCAAATTGTCTTACGACTCTGCCCGACTCGTGGGGTTCCCTAATAGCCCAACAGAACATCCAACACCTAGTCGTCCAAATGGCTTGGCCTTGTGTACAGAAATCAGGGAGTCTATGGAGGACATGTGCATATGGTTGCCACCGAAACTGCACGAAAAAAATTTCATTAGATGGTACAACCGAAACCAAAAGAAAGGAGTAATTGATCTCAAAGTAAATATAAATACCAAATTACAAGTACTTACATCTTCAACACGCAGACTTGTTAATTGATCTCTAAACGGTGGAGTGCTGCTCCTTGGGGCGTCGCCGTACGTGTACCTACATTCCCACCTTAATAAACAAAGGGGTACATTTGAATTAGTGAAATAAATGAATAAGAAACAAATAGAATTAAACGTTGAGTTATTTTGAACTGAAAATACGTACCACTGAGCTAATGGAGCGGTCTCATCAAGCAAATAATCTACTCCTTTTCTTTGGGGCGCGATCCTCTCGATCCGCTCATACGCCCATACCTAGTAAATTGCAATAATAATGTAGAAACTTCAAATTATAACGTCGAAAGCGCAAAATAATTAAAGCACAATATGAAAACTAATACATACCTGTAGCAAATATAGACACCCAGTGGCGTCGTGCATGGTATACTGTGATGCCTCGCATAGGCCAGAGTACAACCCAGCCAGCAGTGCCGATCCCCAACTGTATCGACTACACTGATCCAAATCCTCAACCTGGGCCAAGAACTGTAGATTGACAGTGTTCTGCATCTTGTTCGGAAACATGAAACTGCTAATAAAATGCAGTATAAGTGTCCTGGCCCTTTGCTCGAATCGATGGACAGTGGAAGTTGAAGGTAGTGCACGGCCCATCTCATCTTCGAAAATACCAACATTGACACATTGGCCATTTACAATCGCCGGCCGGAATCCCAAATAAGCCTCACATCGATCCCTCCATTCATCTGCAGTCTGGCTAACTGTCGTGCCGTACACCGGGTCACCATCCACCCGAATACCAAACAGGACCTCGACGTCCTATAGCGTCACTGTCGCCTCTCCGAAATTAAAATAGAAAGTGTGGGTTTCTGGCCTCCACCGTTCCACCAACGCGGTAATGAGGCCTAGATCAACTCTTTTGTACCCTACCTTCATGATCCCCTCAAAACCGGCTCTCCTAATGACTTCCTTAACCTCCGGTGCCATATTTTTATATAACGCCCAAAAATCGCTGTCGTACCTACGGCCCTTGAGGCGGAATGTCTTAATGTCCGGTATCCTGTTCTCATAGACAGCTTGGGACCTATGCTTTGTTTGACGATATAGCATTTTATCTTGTATAGGTCCCGGGTGAAGATGTTTAGGTTGATAGTCATATTGGGAGCCCGATGCCGGCGTCGCCATTTCAATCCTACACAAGGTAACCAAAAAAAAACAAATCAACCAAACCATAAACATTCGGCCAAATAAACAAGACTACCAAACCATATACATTTGGCCAAATAACAAAACTACCAAACGATGTACACTCGGCCAAAAAAAACAAATCAACCAAACTTCAAATTATTCGGCCAAATAAACAAGACTACCAAACTATATACATTCGGCCAAATAACAAATCAACCAAACGATGTACACTCGGCCAAAAAAACAAATCAACCAAACTTCAAATTATTCGGCCAAATAAACAAGACTACCAAACTATATACATTCGGCCAAATAACAAATCAACCAAACGATGTACACTCGGCCAAAAAACAAATCAACCAAACTTCAAATTATTCGGCCAAATAAACAAGACTACCAAACTATATACATTCGGCCAAATAACAAATCAACCAAACGATGTACACTCGGCCAAAAAACAAATCAACCAAACTTCAAATTATTCGGCCAAATAAACAAGACTACCAAACTATATACATTTGGCCAAATAACAAATCAACCAAACGATGTACACTCGGCCAAAAAACAAATCAACCAAACCATAAACAAACAAATAAACAACACTACCAAACTACTATATACATTTCACTATTTACACAACGATAATCCAACACAAACACTATATCAACACCACATCTATAAGCAACTCACAATAGACACAATTTAAATTCAACACAAACACTATATCAACACAAACCAACCACAATTCAAAAAAATAAAAAGGACTCGGATTTCACAAAGAAAAAAAAAATTTTGACAAAAAAAAATTAAAGAGAGGATCGCGAATTTCAAACTTACAGTGAGGAATGGAGGAAGTCGGGAGGAGTGGAGGAAGTCGCCGGAGGTGGAGAGTCTCGGAGGGAGTCGCCGGATTGCAAGGAGTCGCCGGATTATCCAGAGGGAGGAGAGACGCCGGATTGTCCAGAGGGAGGAGAGACGCCGGATATGGAGTCGCCGGAGAGTGGTGGGAGTCGCCGGAAATCACGGAGGGAGTAGAGGGAGTCGCCGGATTGAGTGGTGGGAGTAGCCGGATTTTTGTTTAATTGGAGTTTAGTTTTAGGGTTTTTCAATTCTGGAATTGGGGGAAAAATGGGAAGGGAAGAGTTGACGGAACAATATATAGTCCCGTCAAACTCGGATTTGCTAAATCCGAGTCTTCCCTATTTCCCTCAAATTTTAACTCTCGGATGGTTTCACAAACACGGATTTCTGAAATCCGAGTCTTTTGCAAATTAAAAATAAACTCTGAGTTCGGATTAGCGAAATCCGAGTTAGTACTGTTTCTTCTCAAATTTCAACTCTCGGATGCTTTTCACAAACACGGATTTCCTAAATCCGAGTGCTTAGTAAATTCGAGAAAGTCTCTAAGCTCGGATTTACAAAATCCGAATTTCCCCTGTTTCTCCTCAAATTGCAACTCTCGGATGCTTTTCACAAACACGGATTTCCTAAATCCGAGTTCTTAGTAAATTCGAGAAAATCTCTGAGCTCGGATTTAGGAAATCCGAATCTCCCCTGTTTCTCCTCAAATTGCAACTCTCGGATGCTTTTCACCCATTCGGATTTCGAAAATCCGAGTCCTTTGCAATTTCAAAAAAAAACTCTGAGCTCGGATTTCTGAAATCCGAATGCTTCACAAAACCTTACAATGATGAGTATTTTGCACAATCCGATTTTGATTATGAAAAATAGTACATATTTCATCACACTTTACAATCCGAAAAATTCAATGTTCACATTACAATCCGAATTTATCAATGTTCACATAAATTTATCAAACACTAAATAACTTGCAAGAACAGTAAATTACACTCAATTCCAGCTGTCATTCATAGGTCTTCTATCTACTCCTGGGTGCGAGAACGGACATGAATTGGCATCATGACCTAGTTGTCCACATCTCCAACATTCCCCCCAGCTCCGGCGTCCCCTGTAATCCATTTGCATTCTATGTCTCCTTTTTTGTCTTCGTCCCGGTCCCGCATGCAACACAAGACGCTCATAATTCGGAATGATGTTCCAATTGACCATCGGCCATTGTTCCTCATCGGGAACCGGAACAAAGCCCGTGAATGAAATTGTCTGCGCCACGTTGGAAGGCGCCACACACTATGGTATAGATCAATAGGCCGATCCCCTTTTCTCCGACAAACTTGGAGTGCGTGCGTACAAGGCATCCGGTACTCTTGCCACTTCCTGCACGAACACCTATGTTCATCGTAGTTCACCGTATGCAGAGACCCACCCCTGCCACTTAGGCGTGTGGCGGTAACAACACGCCACATAGCATCATCACCATCGAAAGGGTGGCTTCAAAGCTGGCTGCTTTATCATTCATTTTCTCGTATTTTTTCCATAACTCAGGAGGGATCGGTGTCATGCAATTTCTCGCAGACAATTGTTCTTCTCTATAGAATTTAACAGTTTTGCGAAAGGTTGCATCGATCAAGGCTCTAATTGGTAAAAAACGGATCCCTTTCAACGCATTGTTGTAACTCTCAGAAATGTTGGTTGTCGCTATGCCCCAACGGCGAAGACCGGCTTTCAATCGAGCCCAGTTACTCCCCCCCAATCCCTCGAAGATATTCCCACGCAGCAGGTTTGAATTCAATAAGCTCTGCCCTCATACGGTTGTATTTCACTCTTGAAAGCGTCGTGCCCATCTTCCAACATAACCGCTTCACCTTTTTGCTATTATATCGCGACACAAGATTGCTGCGAACGTGGCGGAGGCAAAGAAAGTGCCCACCATCACCTAAATCACGCCATTCATCCATCTGTGACATTGCGCTCAACAACCCTGCATTCCGGTCGGATATCACACTTACGATTCTATCATACACAACCCACAACCTCAAATTCCTCATAAAAAATGTCCAACTCTCTACTGTCTCCTCATCAACAATCGCAAATGTAACCGGTAAAATGTGCTTGTTTGCGGTATACACCACCGCAACAAGCAATTTACCCTTGTATCCACCATGCAAAAAGGTTCCATCGATACAAATGACCGGTGGACATTCAAAAAACGTCTCAGCCACCGGTGCAAATGACCAGAAGACGTATTTAAATGTCCGGTTTCCCCTGTTCCAACCTTCTTGTCCCTCCTTCCATTCCCACTCTACTACAGTCTCAGGATTAGTAAACTTAAGCGCAGCAATATACCTAAACAACAACAAGTCATTGTTAAAATATTTCAATACATGTAAAAATAAAAATACTATAAATATTTCAATACACGGATAAAAGTTGATATTTACCGTGGAAGTTCTTGAAATTGGAGGTCCAATCACCATAGACCGCTTCTATGGCTTTCCTCCTCCCGTGCCACGCCCTTTTGTATGGCACATCTACTTTCAATAAGGTCTTCACATCTTTACGTGCCGAGGCTACCGTATAATCTACGTTGTCCTCAACCTTTCTCTGATGAGTCTAGCAATCAAAGACGCGTCCACACACCGATTGTCATTATCATTCACAGAGTCATGCAATTATGTGCATCATGCCATCTCACAATTTCATGAAGGCCGTGAGCTTTCAATGACACACGCATCTTCCACTCACATGGTGGTTCACCATCCTCACTTTCCACATTAAATGTTCTGCACCGCACAGCCCACGTCCTTGGACTACTCGCGGCGACCCTATATTCCCTTTTATGATGGATATTCCATAATTTCACAGCATGCTTTGCTTCTGATTGAGATTTGAAACAAACACCAATGTCCATTCCTTCGGGCGTCTCATCCCACATCTTAAAAGCAAACTCATCCTTGTCTACACATGAGGCATCCCAGTTCCCCATCTTACTATATACATGGCGTCGGGCGAATAGATTACAATCCCTTTCCTCATTTTCCAACCTTTCATCATCACTTTCTTCAAAATCACTCTCTCCGGAGACATCACGTCTTCTTCGCTTTCACTTGGAGCTATGTAGTCGGAATCCAACTCTTCCCGGTAGTCATTTTGTGCAAATAAAGGTGTCTCCTCTTCATCACGGTTTCGAGAAGTACTAGCACGTTCCCCCCTTCGAAAATCACCAAATGACACGTTTTCCAAACTCGCTTCTCTTTCTTCTTGAGTGATATCTTCCAAATCTATGTATAAATCCAAACATGACATTGGATCTACACGGTTCATGAACTCTACATGCGAATCATTCTTGATCTTCACTACACGCCTACCACTGGGACTATCGAAAATCAAAGAAAGGTGGAGTTTCATGTGTGCTGGATCCCAACCAAGGATCATACAAATCTTACTAATCAATCCCTCATATGACAACCTTTCTTCGACAAACAAACCATCATCCGGCATATTCGAAAAAGTGTTGATGCTACCGTTCTCTATCACATACTTACTTGTATGATACAAATTAAGCATGTATGATACATTACGTGCCATTGATAACTGTTAAAAAAAACATCAATAACTAATCATTTCTTAATAACAAAATCAACAAAATACACCATACATTCTCTAAAATACACCATACACCATACACCATACATACTCCAACAAATACACCATACTAAAATACTTATAAATCAACTTCGATATCTCATGAACAACTATGATTTCTCATCTCTAACCTCAAAATCAACACCTAAAACATCCAAACAACCAACCAACATAAACCCTAATCTATCATACATCATTCTAACAATCAAAATAACACAAAAATAAACTAAATAACATGGTTTTGCAATCTAACCTCTTTCAAATAACGATTTCCACGTATCTAGAGGCAAGAATGCATCAAAAACTTCAATTCGCCCTTGTTTGAGCTGCAAAAACAGAAAATCCAACTCAGTTCTTGAATGAGAACTGCCTGAAATTTTTTTTCTTTTATAGCACGTTAAACTCGGATTTACGAAATCCGAGTTTGTAAGTAACTCGGATTTTCGAAATCCGAACTGTGTTAGATTCGGATTTCATAAATCCGAGTTTAGTCAATTCAGGATTATTTTATTAATTTGTTGGTCCTCCAATTTAAGGCACATGCCTACTTCCACCAACCAAAATTAAAGGCATCCGAATTTCTAAAATCCGAATTCGTCAAACCGGATTACGGACTTCCGGTTTTTTGGATTCAAAAATTTTGCGCCGCGATTTATTAATTTTTAACTAAACTCGGATTCTACAAATCCGAGCTTTACTAAAAAAACTATTATTCAACAAAATTTATGAAATTATTATTTTATTATTAAGTATGGATCCGGATTTACAAAATCCGAATCTCTAATATTAATCAAAACTCGGATTTCAGAAATCCGAGCAATATATTTCTATCCACAGATATTCTGAAAAATTTAAATTTGTCCACGTTTATTTTATTTAATTTTTTTTTGGGAAAAGCCCCAATCTTAAGGTCTATGATAACAACGATGTATAATAATGAGTATAATAACTCTGGAATTGTGCTTTCAACCAAACAAAAAGTACTCAAAAAGACAAACCCGGATCATAAGATATTAAGATGTAGATGTCAGACGATGTGGAAGATTATTATTATGACCCTTTTGATGAAGACGACGACGAGCAAGGCTTAGAGGCCGGAAATTCCCAAGTCAACGGGACGACGACGATTGCTTCCAACCAGACATCCTGGAGTTCAGCATCTTGGGCGGCCCAGACATTCAGGCCCGCGTAGATGCTCATATCTCGGAGATCTCGAGCCTCCTCTCGGTTTCTAATGAAGCCGCACTTTTGCTCTTGTGTAAATATGGCTGAAATGTTAGCTGGATTCACGATGACTGATTTCCGACGAAATCAAAACCCGGCAGGATACTTAGCTGAATCTCCCTTTGGCGGGCCCGCCAGAGGAATATTCCGGCTGCGGTGGAAAAAGGAAGCGTGAATCAGAGGATTGTTCTCCCGGCCCGGAAAAAAAGAAATCTAAAGGTGTATTCTTTTGTGGGATTTGCTTCGGGAACCATAGGATTAACTCCAAACGGAATTCTGCAGTCACTGCTTGTGATGATACTAAAATTTTTACGTGCTTCCAGAGTTAGTTAAATAAAATGAGAGGACAATGATAAAACAAGACATGTGCTGTGATATTATAAATTGGATTTAAACTCCATCAATTAAAACATTTATAAATAAGGAGTTTCTTTCTAATGCTAATACCTTTAATAAAAAAGATTAAATAAATAAACAATAAGGGTTGACTGATGCCTTCAGTTTAAAGATTATACGATTTAGGATAGTGGGAGAGAAATGTTGCTATAAAAATGATTAGATAACTTCTATAATAACAAACAAATTAAATTGTCCACTTAAAATTCGTATAGACAGGACAGACTGCGCGACTTTAGTAAAATAATTATAACTCATTGTACAAAATTTCAAAAAATTTCAAATCACAATCTGTTTATTGCTAGTTAAACTAGACTCAGAGAAGCATTTAACGGTATAAAGAACGTGGAACAAAGCTTTCTAGATCAATACAGTTGAATTTTCAAAGTCGACCAAACTGCTCAAACAATTTCATGGCACAAATCGTCAAAATTGAGTCACGGCCTTTGTTCTATGGAAAAGCTTCGTACTACTTCTTTCAAATAAGAAAGACACAATTCTTCCAAGCAAATAATAAAGTACTAGCTCATGGAAATATTATATAAATACCAAGAAAAAAAAACTAACAAGAAAACAAAAAGGGACTAGTGGGTAAGGGGCACTTGCATAAGCCATTCCTTAATTATAATCTATTTGATAGAATTACCTAGACTTCTTTGAATACAAATAAAATAAAGGTAGGCATGTACATGGAGTTAGCATCATTATCCATTCAAGCAGGAGCTGTCAAATTTTAAGTTGAACCATCAAACTTCCTAACTAAACAATTCGTAACATTTAAGCTAAGCATAAAGCCAACCAAACTATTATATATGGACTGTAGCTTAACTTTACCTAAGGAAGTTTGAGAGAGTTCTAGTACTACAGAACCGTGACCAAAGAGAGTATTTTCAGTCGGTGAGACTTGAGGGGAAAAGAAAACAGAGGAAAATAAAAGAGGAAGAGGGCGAAGGAGAAAGGGCGCGGATGGACAATGAGCTTGTCCTCGGATGTGTTGTTTTCTACTTTGGCGGAGTTAGGCAAGAGTTTCTTTTTCAATTGAAGGCATTTGATTCTTTAATGATAATTCCAGTTTTATAGATACTAAGAAGTACTACTAGCTGAAGTTTAGTTTTAACTAAATAATAGGTCTAGCTAATGATTTGGAGGTTTAAAGGTGAGATGAATTATGGAGTTTGAATGTAACGTCTAATATACTTTGTTTTATAAACCAGGGAGCAGGAAGGAGAGTAATTATTTTAATTTTGTGCTCCTAATCGTTCATCACCTTGTAGTATAAGCAGGTGTAACAACATCCGTGAGAATCCAAGTTGAACCAGTGACATGGAAGTGGATTTCCATGAAGTGAGATTGGAAACTACTTCTATGTAATCTTCTAATGTTTTGTAAGCATTGCCTATATTAAAGTAACAATCTGGAAGCTAGCCAAGCCTAGGAATTCATTTACTTAATTATAGCTGAAGAGTATAGCAATAATAATAATAGTAATAGTAGTAGTACTACTTGTAAAGTATAGCAATTCGATCTGGTCACTGGAACTAAATGATAACACTAGTCCCACATTTGTCCAAGAAAATAACAACCTCTCAACTAATATAGGTCTTACTTTAACCCACTAATAATCTATTGATATCATTGAGCTTAACTGCAGAATCGGAATAGGAAGACATCGTAAAGACCAAGCAATTCAGGTGACTAATTTTCACTCTTTTAAAAAACTGGGAGTAAGGGAATATATATTTTTGAAAGTCACTGGACCCGTGAGCACTTTTAAAATATTATTGTAATATTAAATGGATATCGTTAATGACCCGATGGTGTGCTAAATCGCCTGGGGGTATATTTTTAACTGTTATAAGTGTTACTAGTTTCGACTGTATGTGTTAATGTGTTTGAATGTTACTGAATCATTATATGATTATCTACAAGTGTTGAATGTTGAACGTATTGTATTAAAGGGAAATGTTTTAACGGAAATGTTACCAATGGTGACATCACCTCGGCAGAGTTTGCAATGTTATCGGTAAATGTATTGTACCCGGTAATGTACTTCCTTGCCCTGGAAAAGTGTATTGTTTGTGCATGCAATCGTTGATGTGTACACATGCTCGGGTGATCTCAGTCACCCTGGAGCATGGGCCCAGGCACTAGGCGAGCAAGGAACGTGAGCCGGCATCGGGTTTAGTCACCAGTCTTTGCCGTCAGTGGCCGTATCGTAGGGGAAACTTGACGGAGTGATCCCGGTCGCGACAGGAGTAAGGTGATTGAATTGCGAATTGTTATTGATAGTTGGTAAGGTCGCTCCTTTCGACGATATATTAATTGATTGTTACAATCTAGTTTGGAATAACGTTCTTGTGCCACATCGGCCTCGACGTGCCTTGCTAGATTTTCCTGTATCCACCCCTATTATTAACTGATTGAAGTGATTGTTCGATTGATTTGTTGCCTGACAAACGTTTTGATAAAAAGGTTTTATCATCATATAATTCCTCAAAATTATTTTGTTAAAAATATCATAGTAGTATTGTGAGAACCTGATTGAGCTCGACGCTCACCCCTTTATACCTATATATACTATTCCCTATCCCCTCCTAGGTTTAGAGGAAAGATCGAAGAATGCTATAGGGAAGATGAACCATTCATTTTGTCATGGAATCGGGTTGACGAATTCGAGTGGAGATTAGATGGTATCGCGCCTTGGGCGAGAGCTCGGTGGACGACTCAGCTGATCGTGAAGCACAGCGTGGAGAAGCAAGCAGGTAGATTAGATGGGTCGTTACACTGCTGCTTGTGGGCATGTCTATTGTCAGACTTGCTGGAGAACTTATATCAGCACGGCCATCAACAATAATGGAGCCGGCTCTCTGTTTCTGAAATGTCCTTAGCCTTCTTGTAGGGCTTCTATTGCTGAATTGATCCGTTCATTAGCATCCGATAAAGATCGGGCAAAGTACGAGAATTATGTTCTGAAATCTTATGTTGAAAGCAGGAAAAACATGAAGTACTGTCCTGCCCCAGGTTGCGAATTCGCTCTTGAATGTTCGGTTAATGATATCAGAGGTTTCAATCACCTGATTTGCGAGGTGACTTGTAAATGTTCGAACCGATTTTGTTGGAAGTGCGATGAAGAAGCTCATAGCCCGATTGATTGCGAGACCGTGGCCAAATGGGCGTCGAAAAACAGCTCCCAATTAGAAAACTCAGAGTGGTTATTAGCTAACACAAAACCTTGTCCGAAATGCAAGAAAAACATTGAGAAGAACCAAGGTTTTATGCACATGACTTGTTTTCCGCCTTGCAATTTCCAATTCTGCTGGCTCTGTCTAGGTCCCATGTCAGAACACGGCGAAAAAACCGGAGGATTTTATAGTTGCAGCCGGTACAAGAGCGCGAGAAAGAATGGAGAGTATAGTACAGAAGAGAAGATCAGACGGAGGGCCAAGAATGCGATCCGGAAGTATGCACATTATTTCGAGAGATGGAATGGTAACCATAACTCTCTGAAGAAGGCATTGGCAGATGTTAAAAAATTGCCCACTGAGCATTTGAACAAATAGGTCGATATCCATTGCTTGACAATTTCTCAATTGCAGTTCATCACAGATGGTTGGACTCAGATTGTGGAATCTAGGAGAGTTTTGAAATGGTCCTACACATATGGGTACTATCTACCGGAGAATGAACCGGCAAGGAAGAAGTTCTTCGAGTATTTACAAGGGGAAGCGGAATCTAATTTGGAGAGACTCCATAGTGTTGTTGAGAAAGAGCTTCCAAAACACAGCAGCGAAGAAGTTCCTCCGTCCGAATTTAGGAGTTTCAGAACCAAACTCATTGATCTAACCAAGATTACACACGGACTTACTTTGAGAACTTGGTCACAGCACTAGCCAATGGCCTTTCTGACGTGAAGGAAATATTGGTTGCCTGAAAGTAATTAAGCTCTTTTGGATCTCATACTTATTAATTAGTTTTATTTCTATGAATTGAAACTATTTTAGAAACAAGACGAGGAACTATTGATAAATGAACAGTCGGCCGTATTTAGGTTCACTGTTGTTTACCATATATTGAGATTTCTAACTTCTCTATACTCTATAAACTAGTATTATGCCCGCACGTTGTGCGGATTTCACTATATTTTAGAGTAACATTAATATATCATTATTTTCCTATGAAAAGTATCATATGTTTTAGTTTTTCTATTTTTTGGTATATTAGGCATTCAGAGTCCAAATTCAACAGTGTCATATGTTTTCTTTCTTTTTTTTTTTGGTATATAATGCATCCGATGTTCGAAATCATTGTTCCAACTAACCCGTTTTCGAATCGAGTAGGTCACTTTTGGAAGACAAATCTCTCCCAACAATCATTACTACATGTCTATGCACAGATTTAATCATGGATTGTAGTTAACTCGGTTCAATATTGTTACCACTTTGATCAACTACTTCTTAGCCATATATGGTACTTTAAAATATAAATTAATATGTTCAACTATCTAATATGCTTCTTGACAATCCATATCTCGGTCTAGCCGTCAGACTAGACCATCCGGCAATTGTAAGCCCAACCGACTCTATTAGAGCGGTTTGAGAAACACTAAATCTAGAAAAACTCGGATACCTCCCAGGTAACTTCATGCCTATAAATGGGGTTGATCACACCACAATTGAGGTACGCTATCTCTAGTACCAATTACTACTCACGTACATTTTTGAAACTCTTTTACTGGCTGAAGAATCGGAGTGTCTACCCTGGGGTTCCCGAGGCTCTGTTTCGCAGGTTAAACCCTACCGGAGTTCCCCATCCAACCGGCGAACAATTCCATACATCATCAAGTGGCACACTTGGTGGGACTCAAAAACTAGGGTTTGTGTCACGAAAACCTTCTCAGGTTTGTGTCACGAAAACCTTCTCAGGTTTTCCTAATCTTTCCAGTGCGATTTAGGGTCTCTGGGACCATCTATATTATGACCAAGATTGCGGAAGACGAGAAAAGCATGGCATCTTCGGGTAGGCGGTGCAGTCCAGCTGATGACACTACCCTGGTGGAGTTCCAAAGAAGACAAGAAAGAAAGAAGGTGGGAAAAAGCCGTGAAAAAGGGGCCGAGAAGGAACCAGAAAAGGAACATTTGGTCCTTGGTTCTTCCCAGCCCAATCCGAAGAAACCAGACAATACTAATCCAGCGATGGAAAAGGAAGATTTGTGTCCTCACGGAACACCATATCATCCAGGAAGCACTTGGAGGATCAAAAGTTGGCCAAGATCAAGGCCGAACTCAAGAAACTACGTGATGACAGCAATCAAAATCAAAGGTTGAAAAGGTATGTCCTGGAAGAAACAAGGCGTCGCTATCTTCTAGGACAACCAGATTCGACTGACCAAGAGTTGGTTGACCTGATTGATGAGAAGGAAGCCCGTTGTACCTTAGCTCTTCTCGAGGCAAGATAAGGTAAACGAAAAGTCCAGGAAAAGGAAGACTATCAGGAGTTCTTAGATCGTGAAGGCTTCCTAGAAGATCATTCAACTACCATTCGAGACACTATTTACTGGAATGCTTTCAGGAAGAAATACCCTGCCTTTGATATAGCCCTCGAAGAATTTGATGCCATATACAGGCGCAAGGGTCCTCGAGATCATCACCTACAGGGATCCCCAAGCGTCGAGTTCGTGGGAGAAGGAGAGTGGAACCCTCCTCCGAGGAGGACCAATGTCCATGACCAGTTGGGACTCAATTGGCATAAAAAAGGTCCTCGAAGAGAGGATTACAGACCCTTTCATTGACAGGCTCAAGACAATGATAATGCCGGAAAAGAATATGGACGGGGGAATAACCATCATCTTCAATATTCACCTCCTAGGCGACAACAGCATAACCATTAGGAGGAATTTCCACCTTACCCTCATCGAGGTCAGCAAATGATAAGGGGGCAGAATGTGTCAATCCGAGACGAGATGAGAAAGATCATTGGAATGGTCGTGGACCGTAGCCCCTTTATACCAAACATTCGAGATGAGCCAAAGCCCCAGGACTTTGACTTTCCAAAAGATTTCACCAAATATTCCGGAGATACTGATGTCTCCCAGAGGCTACAGGGATATGTCCATGTCATGAGAATCAGGAATGCATCGTTAAACTTCATGGCTACAGCCCTGCCCTCTTATTTGACTGGGCAAGCGCAACGGTGGTTTGGTCAGTTACTCGAAGCAAGTATAATCAGTTTTGAAGACTTATCCATCAAATTAGCCACTCGCTTCTTCCAAAGTAAACAAATCACTCGGATGTCCATTGATCTCTCTTCAATCAAGCAGGGTCAACACGAAAATCTCTCAGATTTCCACCGGCGTTTTTTTCTGAGAAACCCTACAAATTGACAACATAGACGAACGAGACGTTCAAAATGGGTTCATCTAAGGACTTAATCCATTTGGAAAATCCTCGATGCTAAGGGTAAAGCTCTCAACCAAACCTCCTAGGAATTCCCAGGAGATGTGGGCCATTGTCCAGAATTAAATTCAATGAGAGCATACACTTAAACAATCTCAGGAGTCTTTCACAGCGATCGGGACAAGGGATAAGCCCAAGGTTACCATGGAAACAGGACAGCGCTGTCTAAGCTCAATAGACAACTGAACCCTCTAACCAAATCTCGTCGTGAAATCCTTCAGATCCATAAGGATGAATTGCCAACACCAAAGCCCTTGGCTCCTAATCCAAATAGGTCAATGGAATAATACTGCGAGTATCACAAAGACCACGGCCATGATACCAAGGAATGTTGAGAACTAAAGCGGGAAACCGAGAATGGAGTCAAGTCTGGAAAATTTTAGTAATATGTACAGGGATCTTCACAACAAAGAAACAATAAGTTTGTCGGATCCTGAAACTTCCCACGACAAAATTTTTGAGGTCCTCAAGGAGAAAATCGAGGAAATAATTGGCAACCGAGGAACAACACACAACAGCCTCCCCAACAAGCTATTGAAGGAGCACCACAACTGCTTCAATATGTTCCTCCGGCGGATCCTATCAACCAAATCACTCATCAGGTGGGAGCCATTTATGGAGCCTCCCTCGAGGTCTTATCTACTATAGGCATGAAAACCTCACTACGGACTGTCACAAAAACTCCACCCCAAGAACCTAGCCACAAGAGGTTTAAAGGGACAGGGGCCATAGTCTTCACTGATAGCGACGTGGTTCCAGATCTTTGACCTCATGGCAAAGCTATGATTATCGAGGCAGTAATTGGAAACGTGCATTTGAATCGGGTTTATGTGGATAACGGTAGTGCAGTCGACATCATCTATAGCGATTACTTTAAGAAGATGAACATCCAAAACCTCGATATTTGCCCTGCAACATTACCATTGATGGGCTTCTCAAGTAATACCATTATCCCGAAAGGAATCGTAAGACTCCCCATTACAGTAGGGTCGCATTCCAGGATGGTTACACTAACTATGGATTTTGCCCTAATAGATGCACTCTCGCCGTTCAATGTGTTTCTAGGACGACCATGGATGTGTCAAGCTCGAGCAATTTGGTCTCCTTATCACTTGTTGATGAAATTTCCAACAGAATATAGAGTTAGAGTGGTGCAAGGATGCCAACACAGCTCGAGAGAATGTTTACTCACAGTAGTCAAGAATGGTAAGAAGACCATGAGGTCTAACACAAGCACTGCCATGTCGGGGTGCTACTCAATCCAGCAGACACCAAAACACCCACAGTTGGAAGATCATGATGCTGGTAACCTACCACAACTTAGCAGCAAAACTCAGGAACTGGTTCTTAAAAAGAAGGATCCCTTCAAGATGATAGAGATAGGAGTCTCTCTTCAAGGAACACTGCTAGCCGAGGTAATCGCCTTACTACGTGAGTTTCACGATATATTTGTCTGGTCGCCTACAGACATGATTGGAGTACCACGAGATGTCATTGAACATAAGCTGAACGTCGATCCCAATGTTAAACCTGTGCAACAAAAGAAAAGGATATTCGCTCAAGACCGCAACGATGTCATCAACAAAGAAACATTAAAGCTAGTCCACGCTAACATCCTCCACAAAGTTCTTTGGCCGACTTGGTTAGCTAACCCAGTCCTAGTATGGAAGCCTGATAACTCTTGGCGCATTGAAAATGCCAAGATTACACGGATCTCAATGAATACTGCCCCAAGGATTGCTATCCCTTACCAGTCATAGATCAGATGGTCGAGGGTATCACAAGGTATAGAACCCTTAGTTTCCTCGATGCCTATAAAGGGTACCACCAAATCCTCATGGAATGAGAAAATGCAGAAAAGACAGCCTATATTACCGAAATCGGGGTATATTGCTATGACAAGATGCCTTTTGGCTTGAAAAATGTCTATGTGACCTATCAGCGCCTTGTTAACCGAGCATTCCATGACCAGATTGGTCAAAATATTGAGATATATGTGGATGACATGGTGATCAAGAGTAACAAAGATGAGCAAGTAGTCAAGGATATGCGTGAAATCTTTTCAATTCTCTGCAAGATTAATATGAAGCTCAACCCAAAGAAATGCACTAGGGCTGTTCATCGGGTCAGTTTTTCGGATATTTGGGTTTGACAAATTCGGGTTTACGAGTATTTGGGTTCGATCGATTTCACCCGGACTGAGATATGATATTCACTCTTTGGATAACCAAACAACTCATTCAGTTATTCGGATTATCGGTCGGGTATTCAGGTATACCCAAAGTAAAATTTTCATACCATCGCAAGGTTTACAGGGAAAAAAAAAGAAGAAGAAAACCTTCCATAAATCAAAACCTGCTCTTATTTCCACAAGATTCATGGTGATGTCCAAATCTAAAATTTTAAACGTACAATAAAGTAAGATCAATAATCTCAAG